ATTTCATTGGGGGGAGGTGGAGGAGGCTGTGTTCCGCTCTATTCGCGATGGGTTTGTTAACGCCCCTCCCCTGCGTTATCCTGACTTTTCGTGGCCATTCATTTTGGACACGGACGCCAGTAATACCAGCATTGGTGCTGTGTTATCCCAAGTCGTAAATGGCGTAGAGCACGTGGTTACATATGGCAGCAGGGTGTTGTCCCCGGTGGAGCAGCGGTACTGCGTTACACGCCGGGAAGAGTTGGCCATTGTGGTTTTTGTGCAGCAATATCGGCTATATTTGTACGAGCGACACTTCGAAGTGCGCTCCGATCACGCGGCTCTCCATACACGTTGCATGTGGACCAGCCCTCTAGTCAATTGTCACGCTGGCTTGAAATCCTGCAGGATTTTTCATTCAATGTCACGTATCGTAAGGGTTCTCGCCACACGAACGCCGATGCCCTATCGCAATTTCCAGCGCCCGGAGAGTGCGCGTGTTTTTCTGGTTCGGGTCGTTGTCGACCGTGCGGCTTGACCTCCCCGGCCATGGCCTCTGATGTTGAGGATCTGCTGAAAGGCTGTGAGCAATGTGTCCGGCGGAAGCCGCCAGCGAGATCTTATTGTCCTCCGCTGCAATCCATCCAGGTGTCACGGGTAAATGAAACTGTTGTCCTCGACATTCTCGGGCCATTTCCCATTTCGGCGCGTGGCAAACAAATACTTACTCGTGGACGTTGAGTATTTCTCACGCCGGCCTATGGCTTAGCCGCTCCCAAATCAATCGGCTGTGGCTATCACCGAGGCGTTCCTTAATGGCTATGTTCTGGATAAGGGGGCTCCTGAGCGCCTCTTGACGGATCAGGGCAAAACATTTTCCTCCAAGCTGCTGCATGAGGTTTGCAACCTGCTGGGAACAAAAAAGGTATGCACGTCACCGTACCACCCGCAAACGATGGCATGGTCGAATGCCTACACCGGACTCTGACCTCCATGTTGAGTCACTTGGTCAGCGAGTCACAGGTCGATTGGGATTTGCATATCCCTGCGGTTCTTGCCGCTTATAGGATGACCCTTCACATGTCCATCGGCTACTCGCCCTTCTTTTTGATGTATGGGAGAGAGTATGATCCTCCCATCGATGTCCAGTTGCAGGCCGCGCCCGCCCCGAAGGTGTCCAAAATTTCTGACATGATTCGGTTCACGATGGGGAAACTTTCTGAGGCGTGGGAAGCCGCCAGTGTTAACTCTCGGGCCAGGCAGCTGGGCAGCGGGCGGCGATTGGTCGCCGGGGGACATGGCCTGGTTGCATTGTCCGCAGGTGCCAGTGGGCACATCACCTAAATTGCTGCAACCTTGGAGAGGGCCGGTTGATGTGATTTGGGTCGTGCGGTCGCAGTGTGTCCAGGTTCGGTTTGGTAAGCGGAACTGGTTTTTGCACCCGTCTCGCCTGAAACCGTTCATCACGCCGTGTGAATTTGTTTCATCTCCATATCGAAGGGGCCAAGTGTTGGGTGTGCCCGACGAGCTGGGGCGTGCGTCTGCTGACGTAGGTCCTCAGGAGAATGTTCCTGTTCCGCCCCCAGGCGCCGCGCAACTGATGCCTCGTATGCGGCCGCTCGTGTCGGCCTCACGTGCTCGGAATGCTGAGGACCTGACGACCCGGCCTACTGCTCTTCGTGAGGAGCCGGCTTCGTCGGGTCGATTTCTTGCCCCCCCCGGCCCTCCCAAGGTGGTCGAGCCCAACCCGTCTGGAGGACCAGCGTCATGGACGGGGGCCGTGGGGCAGTCACGTGGTCCAAAGGAGCTCTCGGGAACCTTCAAGAAGGAGCTCGAGAGACCTGGAAGGTGGGCGAGGCGACGGGCGGAGCCAGCCCCAGCCCAGGAGCATATAACGAGGGCCCCGTGAGGAGCTCAGGGTTCTTCGTGTGCTGGTGTTACAAAGATCCACGTCGGGGAGAAGAAGCCTCTAGCCACGCGGTCCGGGACCCCATTTGTGGTCCGGACCGGGATAGCGAACCGTGTCTAGTTCTGCCGTAGCGTGGCTAGATGGGCATTCGAGACCCGAGTGTAGATCGTGTTGTGTTGCGTGTTAATGTGAATAAATAGTGTTGTTCCCAAGATAACGTCTGCGACTCAGTCGGACTCACTACACTTGTATAGTTTGTTAGATATGCTCATTCCTTTCTCACAATCTCGCATGCCTGCTGGGAATGTTGAAGGAAAGAGTGATTTAAGCATAAATTTTGTGCAGTCTGATTTTTATTCATTAAGAACTGGCTGATAAGATGGGCATCTACACACTATTTCAAACATTTAATTAGATACATATCAAAGTGTTTCACCGAGTGATTTACCATCAGTGAATACAATCTGCAGCATGGCGTGTGTGACACTGTGCCTCAAGCGTGTGGATGAAGACGTTTCGCTTGAAGTGGTCTCAGAAGCAGTTCTGTGGTTTCATCGTCCGCGGGGTGTTCTCTAACGCTCGGGTGATGCTATGCACTGCTATGCACTGCTATGCACCACTCTGCAAGAGTTCTGAATGGACAATTCTTTATCTCATGATATGATGCCGAGAACACAATTGGAATACAGTTGGGGGAGGAAAATTACGTAACATTCGTAGATATAATGTTTTACGTGATGCATTTGATATTACAAAAGGCTTTGCAATGTCAAAATCAGCATCCTGCACGGATGTAGCACCCATAAAGAGATACCGAAGATAAACGCAAGCCACTGTGTGTACCACTGAGATAAAAGCATCCTCCTATGAAGTATTGGATCTGAAAGGATATTTGAGTCACGCATCATGACTCCATTTCCTTGAACAGGAACAGGGAATCTGGAGACTTTCAAACACGGCATTTGAGGTATGAAAACAACACCCGGACCACAACGCAACGAATGAGTGGGCTAATTTGATATTCTTCTTCATTCTGGAATGTTACCAATGTCACGTGTAATACGTCTACTTATTTTTGATGTCCGTTACAAATGGATAAAAACAAATGTTTTTGTCTCATTGCCAATTTTATTCTAATTATGGTATCAGTAACCCTTCCTCTCAACCACCAGGGGCCTCGCTCCCATGCGAACTATGCTCCGCTGTGAAGATGCGGGCCGCCTACTCTCTACTCTATAGATAGAGGATGAAAGAATCTCTCCAACGTGTGACTTTGGAGCACCCAAACACAGATTGCTCTCTCTTGGCGGAAGTCGTGCCACTATATTCATTCTCAGGAGGGCCAAGAGGAACACATTCACAATCTCTTAAAGCCAACAACCGCATTTTGAAGTTAGACAATTTACATATATGATTGCTATACAAGCGTCATCCATAAGACACAACTGGTTCAATTACTGCTGAGACCCAGGTGGAGAACTTGGTTTCATTACTGGTGGCTAAAACCTGGATATCAGTGGTGTGAGCTCAGAGTTCTGACTCCCAAGCCCTGAGTCATCCAGCCTCCTCAAAATCATCATAATCACGATCCATGGGCAGACCAGCCCGTAGGTGTGCATTGGACATTTCGTCATTTGTTTCCACTTTCCTCTGTTTTGTGCCAATTTGCCCTCAAAAATAAAAATCACAAACAATATTTGTGAGGCTCAGAAGAGAAGATCTGGTCAGCACCATGTCTAGCTAATCTCTTCTGCATTAGTCTCTGCGATAGGAATGTGGACTTTTATCGGCAAACCCAATGGTCATAGACATTACACGCATGCCTTACGCTCTACGTCTGAAATCAATTGTGGTAATGAGCGTCCCCTGCTGTTGAAACCCCATCGTGGTTAAGAGCCTTATAACCAAAATCCAATTCTGAACCTGGAAATTATTGAAGATCGCTGATGTAACTTATTGGAATACAGTTCCCTTACTACACTGTACCATGTTGCGTACGAATGAAAGAACCATCCATTATGGATGCATTTTAAAACGAACAAAGCATTCAGGGCAAGTTTGTCTCAAAGAAGTGGAGCATCACCACACAATGTCAGTGTATTATCATTTTCAACCCATTGTAACGTTTAATAATTCTTTATAACCAAGGGGCATTTGAATAAATGTGAAATTTGCAGTGTCAAGTGAAATTGCAAATAGTCCTTAGGGTTATCACCCCTTATTGAAGAATGTTAAGTAGAAATACATGTCAAGTCTGTTTCTGTAATGTTGGCATCCTTATAAATTAGTTTTTTTTTGTCATTGAAAAGCTCAAGTGATCTTTAACACTAAATATTTAGGAGCAGCCCTTCATCAAGTATTTTACAAAAAATAGCTGATGATAATTAGAATCCTTAATTTCGTGTCTTTAGTGTTATCAATAATTGCATGCAAAAAACTATTTCGAAAATAGATTATTGGTTTACCAACCTTTACCAACGTGGCGAAGTATGGTCAAACAGGCCCCATGGATGACACAGCATCGTGAGGTTTGAACTGACAAAGGGCTGCAGGTTTTAAATAAATATATATTTTATAATGGCAAGTCACGTGATCAAAGACATAAATTCGTAGCGTGCTTCTATGAATTCTGGATTCAACAATTAATTCTGTAAACGATTATTGACAAATAGATGATCGAATAACAATGGTGATGATTATGGCAATGATGATATTTATGATGACAATAGTAGTGATCCCGTTGTATGTTGGATTTAGTATCCTGTTAATGATTTCAATAATAATGACGTTGGTGTTGATGGTGGTGATGACAGCTGCTACAATGCTGATAATGACAAAATACCACTGAAATGACGATATCAATGCTGATAGTAGTAACGATATTACTGATGACAATGATGCCAAAAAATATTAATAACTTTCAAAGTGGTTGAAGCAATGTGATAACAATGACAACCGCGATGATGACGACGATGTCTCTGGTGGGCGTCGCTCGGGCCTTCTTGCTGACACACGCATATGCCATGTGTCCCCCACCCCAGTGCCTCCGATTGTCACGGTTGGCTACGTACGTCACGAAATAAGTTCATACGCGCATACGGTACGTACGCACATTGCTCACCCTTGCTGGCTGCGAGGAGCACATCCTCCGCCTCCCGGCCCAGGTCCACACTCAACGTCGCATCGCGCAGCACGCCCCGCCGCTGCTCGGCGAGATCCTGCGCGGACTTGACGTGTCCGCTCTGGAAACCCGAGCTGCGGTCAAACGCAAAACGTGCGGCCGGCGGCTCACTCAAGGCAACGAAGCCAACTTAAACAGACTTGCCCAGGGCCACAGCAGCTCTGAGACTCCTTACGTCATGCGCACTTGCAAACACTACCCCCCCCACCCCCCCCCCCCCATTTTTTTGCCTCTTGCTTATTTTCAAAGGAAATAAAATGCATCGGTTTATATATATAAATTAAGCCGTATGATTAGCTTTTAAAATTGGTAAAATGGTTTAAGAGTCAGCAGACTAGTGCTTAAATTATTTGACAGTTCAGTTATTGTCTTATATATTACAGTCACAAAAGTTTGAAGTGTTCTCAAAATGAAACGTTCCGTGGAGCTCACTCCGGTTGGCAGTCCTGAGCCAGTGGTGGAAATGCCACGATCCTATGGCAAGGATTTTTTGTTATCGAAACATCATAGGACAACCACGGCTGACTGCAGCAAATGGTGCAACCTCAACAAGTGCTGCTCATTTCATTGATGCCAAACAGATGAATAAGTGGAATCTACCGTGGTCAGGATGTCAACTCGTGCTCGTATAACTGGGTACCCTCATTGCTGCTTCATCAAACTAAACTATATATATTTTTTTATTTTACCAGGTAAGGCCTACTGAGCTCTACAGATCTTTTTTTCCGAAGCGACCTGGCTACAACGAAGCGGCTTGTCATGTGGAAATGTTTAGCAGAAAGACACTCTAAACGCATGTTTCTAAATGTGGAGGGGAAAACCAGAGGACCTGGAGAAAAATCCATGCCACCACGGGGAGAACATGCAAACTCCAAATATACAGGTGTCGGGTCGGGATCGAACCCAGGACCTCCTGCATATCAGGCGAGGTACTTAACATCTCGCCACCGTGGTGCCAACTGAGCTATGTCCTGGTGCTCACTGCGTTATGTAATGATGCAGTGATTCATACAACGAATATTTCACGCAATAATTTACTGTTTACTCTTCATGAAAACGATAAAATAAAACTTGGACAAACTGAACAAATGAAACAATACAAACACAAATCGTTGGGGATGAATCGCTACCTGCCATAGCCCAACATCAGTGCGATGTTACACTGCGTCATATAAAACAACTAACTGTATGTATGCAGTACACACATGATGTATGTAATCAGTGAGTTCATTGCCAAGTCAGCTGCCAGTCTTTGGCCATTAAAAAAAGACAATCACGATGCTGTGTTGGTAGTGATGCATAAGCCAAACGAATTAAAACGCTCGTTGGTGAATAACGCTGCCTTAAAAGAAGACACATATAAGAGGCGACGTTTGCGGGATACATGGCCCTTCATTTAAAATTAAATGTTCTTTATCCCAGCTCCACTGTGCACCAACAATCAGTCTGACACTTCCACAGTGCCCTCTGCTGGATCAGCCCGAGAGAGGGGCTGCACTCGGTCCGACAGCCCCTTTCACAGCTCAAAGACCCGGCATTGTATTGCGACTCATGTAACCATGATTGTGAACAACATTTTTATTGTATTATACCAGGTAAGGCCAACTGAGCTGTATAGCTCTTTTTCAGAGGGGGCCTGGCCACAATTGATGGCTCAACGAAGTGGCTTGTCGTGTGGAAATGTATAACAGCTAAATACACTGAACGCATGTTTCTCCAAATACACAGCAGGGTTGTGATCGATCCCGCGAAATCCTGTATACTAGGCGAGGTAGTTAAGATGTAGATTGAAACTAACATCTGTCCTGTATAACAATGAATGTAACAACTCTATTGTATAACATTTGCACTGCCGCAGGACGACTCTGAAATAGAGCCGAACAGCTCATTAGGCCCTTCCTGCTGAAACAAAAAAAAATCTCCGTGCAGGTTTTACGCTCAGAACCCATGGCCAGGATAAATGAAAGGGTCTTTTGTCTCCGCCACTCAGCTGTTCAGCGCCACCAGATTGGCCTGCGAATGCGCAGCTGCACCTCTGGTGCAGAGCTGGGCGATGATGCAGAAATCAAAGCGCAGCGTGCCCGGTGACTGTACTTGCCGTTCTAACATCCACAAGTGATTCGACTGCAGAGCACTGCGAGCAAGAGACGGCGTTCCACGAAGTTCTGCTGCGACTAAATTACAACGCGGAGCGTAGACCCGACAGCACGGGCCGTTGGCCAGCGTCCGGCGAGCGTCCGGCACGCCTCTTGGCAAGGCTCTCGCGCGTGCAAATCTCGGCCGGTGGTGTGACTCAGCCCATCGCCAATGTGAAGTGGATAAAATTCGTACCACATTGTGGCGAGTGCGCAGTAATTGCTCCCGTGGAGAAACCAGCCGCCGCCCTGATACCGTGGAATTTCACCACTGGCTTAGGGGCCCACCAACGAGGAGGAACACCATCCTGTGTGCCTGCTTTGGCAGGGCGACGCTTTGGCTTTGACAGTCCCACCGCTCAAGAGGAACTGCACCATTCGACAACGCGGACTTCACTAAAGCGTTGCAATGGGAATTATCAGCAAAGACAATTTGAAGGCCAAACTTTGACCTGCGTGAGGCATTCGTGGTCCCAGTTTCACGCAACAGGTCTGAGAATTTCTGGACCCTGAAGGAGAGAGGATGAACGACGAAAGATACCGTCAGAAGAAATGAATTGGATGAGAATGAGACTGGGAGTACCGAGACGACAACCTCTGGAAAATGAGACCATGGGAAAAACACAAGGGCACGTGAGAGACTTTGGTGCAAAAGATACCGAGGCCCCGCAATTTTTTAACGTGCAATGGAGGCCAACAGATTAACATCGATGGTCTCGCACCGCCATGCGGAGGACGCAGGCGGTCCGTACAAGAGGTGGATCAACGGCATGAAGGAGGACTTAAAGGAGGTCTACAGGAAGCGATTGCCATGATCGTAGTCAAATAGGAGTGGACTAAGTTTATTATACGTTATCCTCAGCTGTCATGTGACAATTATGGGTTAATTGTGAATTCGTTTGTTCATCAACATTGCCTCCTACTGGCAGACCAAACACACTTTTCAGATTTAGCTCCGCTTCCTCCTTGTGTCACATAGGGATTGCTGCCACCGGAGGGACCCTTGGGCGAGATTACAGTCAGGCATTGGAACTATTTAGATGAGATAGCAGGCGCTTTTAGTCGCAAAGATATAACGGCAACCTCCCTATAAATCCTCACCTTCAGTGTGTTGTCCTTCCCCCGCACCTCCGATTAGCACGGTTGGCTACGTACGGTGCGAAAAAAGTTAAACAAAAATCGCCATTCGTCACTAAGTGGCACTGACGTTACCACGGCGCTTGTGCCAGGCTACGTGCGCTTTAAGGCCAAGTGATGTACTTGATGCAGCGATCTTGCTGTGACTGTTCCACCTGAAGACGGAAGCTTGTGTTGCCTCCGAAACGTCGTGATTTAATTTTTTTTTATTCTTATTTTACCTACGTGACTTTACCGAAAAAAACCAGAGAGGCAGGAGGTCACGGGACAGACCCAGGTGCCATGGATTGACTAAGATGACTGGCCGATGCGCCACCTGTCCCCCCTACTATGCCAGCTTGCTGTGTTGTAGACGCCTGGGCGTTCCGCTCGTTGTGAGCATCGCTCCTCTGCCGTTGCTTTGAGAGCGACCGCCTCTAACTGCCCAGTAGCATCCTTCACGAGCCTCCTCCAGAGAGGCCGATCTTGACACCGCTTGTACCAGTTCTTGGCAAGTCCAAAGACATTCAACACACACATACACCTGACAGAAGGGAACAGGAAGAAGCTCAGGGCCAGACGGGCGCACGTCTCCCCCCCCCCCACCCCCCCCCCCCCCCACGCTCACAGCTCGGCCTGCAGCGCCAGAATGGTCGCCTCCATGCCCTGCCGCTTGACTCGCCAGCCCAGGGTCATCTCGTGCTGCCTCTGCACGCCGGCCGTGTGCTGCTCCGTTGCCTCGGCGAGCTGCGCCTCGCGCACGCGCACCAGTTCCTCCAGGTAGCACTGCCCCGTGGTGGGTGGCGGGAGGGGGATGGAACGTGGAAAACAGAAAGGTGAAGCGGAATGACGATCAGTAGTTTCCGGAGTCATTCTACAATTTTTTATTTTTATTTTGACCAGGTGAGGCCCACTGAGCTATGTAGCTCTTTCTCAGAAGCGACATGGCCACATAATGACAGCTCGACGGAGTTGTTATTCACGTGGAAATGTATTGCAGCGAAATACTCTGAATGCATGTCGATTCTACATGTGGCGGGGAAAACCGGAGCACCTGGAGAAAAGTACACGCGACCACGGGGAGAGAGACGTGCACACTCCAAATATAAAGGCGTCAGGGTCGGGATTCGAACCGACGACCTGTATACCAGGCGAGGTAGTTAACATCTCAGCCACCGAGGCGTCCTCAGGCTGCAGCTCACGACGTGACGACCCCGCGACACACGGAGGCGCAAGCATCCAGAGGTGTTTTTAGCCAATGAAGGAAGTGTTTATGCGTGTCACCTGCGGCGAGAGCGAACCGACAGCCAAAGGCGACTCCAGGTCTCGAATGTGGCCTCGTAGGCAGCAACATAGCAGGGGCACAGAGTAGGCGATTGTCTCACTCCCCCCTCCCCATCTTCCCCCTGTCCCACCCCCCCCCCCCCCCCCCCCCCCAAGTTTAGCAGACTCAGGTCTTAAATATTGACGAGAAAATACTCATGGAAAGCAAGTACGAAGCCAATATTACCAAAAAAAATAATGTAAAGGTGTAGCCCTGCAAATGCTTGCTTTTTTCCACTGATGGAGGAAGTACCACCGGTGTCTCTAGAGAGTCCCACTGTCTCTAGAGAGACTCACTGTCTCTAGAGAGTCTCGCTGTCTCTAGAGAGTCTCACTGTCTCGAGAGAGTCTCGCTGTCTCTAGAGAGCCTCGCTGTCTCTAGAGAGTCTCACTGTCTCGAGAGAGTCTCACTGTCTCTAGAGAGTATTGCTGTCTCTAGAGAGTCTCGCTGTCTCGAGAGAGTCTCGCTGTCTCTAAAGAGTCTCGCTGTCTCTAGAGAGTCTCGCTGTCTCTAGAGAGTCTCGCTGTCTCTAGAGAGTCTTACTGGCTCTAGAGAGTCTCACTGTCTCCAGAGAGTCTCACTGTCTCTAGCGAGTCTCACTGTCTCCAGAGAGTCTCGCTGTCTCTAGAGAGTCTCGCTGTCTCTAGAGAGTCTCGCTGTCTCTAGAGAGTCTCACTGTCTCGAGAGAGTCCCACTGTCTCTAGAGAGTCTCGCTGTCTCTAGAGAGTCTCGCTGTCTCTAGAGAGTCTCACTGTCTCTAGAGAGTCCCACTGTCTCTAGAGAGTCTCACTGTCTCTAGAGAGTCTCACTGTCTATAGAGAGTCTCACTGTCTCTAGAGAGTCTCACTGTCTCTAGAGAGTCTCACTGTCTCTAGAGAGTCTCACTGTCTCTAGAGAGTCTCGCTGTCTCGAGAGAGTCTCGCTGTCTCTAAAGAGTCTCGCTGTCTCTAGAGAGTCTCGCTGTCTCTAGAGAGTCTCGCTGTCTCTAGAGAGTCTTACTGGCTCTAGAGAGTCTCACTGTCTCCAGAGAGTCTCACTGTCTCTAGCGAGTCTCACTGTCTCCAGAGAGTTTCGCTGTCTCTAGAGAGTCTCGCTGTCTCTAGAGAGTCTCACTGTCTCGAGAGAGTCCCACTGTCTCTAGAGAGTCCCACTGTCTCTAGAGAGTCTCGCTGTCTCTAGAGAGTCTCGCTGTCTCTAGAAAGTCTCACTGTCTCGAGAGAGTCCCACTGTCTCTAGAGAGTATCGCTGTCTATAGAGAGTCTCGCTGTCTCTAGCGAGTCTCGCTGTCTCTAGAGAGTCTTACTGGCTCTAGAGAGTCGCACTGTCTCCAGAGAGTCTCATTGTCTCTAGAGAGTCTCGCTGTCTCTAGAGAGTCTCGCTGTCTCTAGAGAGTCTTACTGTCTCTAGAGAGTCCCAATGTCTCTAGAGAGTCTTACTGGCTCTAGAGAGTCCCACACTTTACCCCCACCAGATGCATCTTGCTGATTGACTAATGGTGGACAATGGTGGGAGATTTAAGAAATCTGCTGGTTGTTTAAACCGCCGTGCAAGGAGAATAAATCGGTGACCTCTGGATTGCAAGTCCAGTGTTAACCATTTCACCACCACCACCACCACGGCAGCACCCGAATTCCTAATCCTACCATCCAGTGGCATCGACACGCAAGTTCCAAACTTCACCTCGTGTTCATGATATTTTCGAACGCGGACGGAATGAGCGAGCAAGCTAGCAAATATTTAACCGACACTCTGTACCCGAGCGGAGTCACCTCTCTACGCAACGTACCTTCTGCTCGCAGGACAGGCGGTACTGCTGCTCCAGACGCTTGTACCTGCTGTACCAGCTGTTCTCGTTTGCCAGGATCTCAGCGGGAGGGGCGTCCGGGGTGGCGTCCTCACTGCTGCTACCCAGCGTGCGCATGTCGTCGCCTTCGCTGCTGATCGTTCCATAGCTACACGGCACACACACACACCGAGACAAAGACCCCACACACACATACACCTCACATAGCCTCAAGAGACTGTTGGGGCAAGTGCTGTCGGCGAGCAAACCTTTCAAGGCCAGGAAAGGAACACGAGGGGGTGGGTAGCCAGCACCGCACCCGTTCGCCTTTGTCTCCCACAGTGACGATGTTTACATATCGCATCAGGTCCAGGACTGGTTCAGATAACTGTCACCGACCTTGGCCGTGAGCGGGAATCGAACTCAGGTTGCCGAGTTCGTAGTTCAGCGCGTTAACCACGACGCTACCACTCCTCTCAAAATGTATACACATTCAAACACACGTATATACACACACACAAAGCTCCCCCATATACTCGCAAATGTCCATGCAGAGCAGTGATATGTGCTGTTAGAGCCAGTCCTGTTTGAAAGCACCTATCAAATCTGCCATGGCAAATAATAGGGCGGTGAGACCAACACCTTCGGCAGGCTGTTTTCCCGACGCTAATGTTGATACATCGGCACCAGGTGCTCGCTTTTGGCTGCATCAATCTAAGGAAGTCCATAATTGAGGTTTTTTTTTGTTAGATCGCGTAAATATGTTGTTAAAACCCGCCACTACCCGACACAGCCAACTAGTTAAGGTTGTCACGTAAACAGAACGTGGCCAATTCGTCACTAGTACAGCACACCGGTGTGTTGGAGAACCAAGCCACAACATTTACAATCTGAGCACGACGCTTCGCCAGTAATTACAACGAGCCATCATCAGGCGACAGCCAGATTTGTGGCTTGGTTCTCCAACACACCGGTGTGCTGTACTAGTGACGAATTGACCACGTTCTGTTTACGTGACAACCATTACTAGTTGGCTGTGTCGGGTGGTGGTGGGTTTTAACGACGCATTTATATATTTACAGGATCTACCCCCCCCCCCCCCAAAAAAAAAACAACAACCCCTCTATTATGGATGATATAATAAAACACAGCCTATGTGTTAAACTAATCTAAGGGAGATCCAGGCAAAGTGCAGAACCTTTGTTTTACAGTGTTGTGCACGACCAGGAATTGTACCCACGCCACGGGGATCATGTAGCTGAGTACAATAACCACCATGCCACACGCAAGCACGGGTACTTGTGCACAAATGTACACGTGGACATGCGGTAGAACTGTATACTTTTACATATTTATTCAATACATTGCAACGGCGACCTGTTATTCGGTGTTTTTTTGTGATTACGCAACGGCCGTCAACAAATCTCACTGAACGTATTGTTCATTAGAGCTCCGTTACAGTGCACTCAACACACACACACACATGTGAAGCAAAAGACTAATTTCACACTTCTATCATAACACAAATTTTGGAGAGGCCTTTGGACAGGCAGTGAGATTAACAGCCGAGAGATGGGGGGGGATGGGGCTGAGATGCGGGCACATGTAGACGCATCTCGAGCTGCCGCATGAGATTCTGCAAGCCACCATCAAGACGGCAATAACCAAACAAATATGTGCACGCACACAACGCTGCTCACAACGCTGCTCACGATGCTCACGTGCCCTGCCATAGACTGGGGGCAAAACTACGCACTTAAAGGGCCGGCAGATAATGTGACAGACACAGACACGTGCACGCAGTGTATCACGATGTTGGATGTTTAATTTATAACGCTCTTCAGATGTGGGTGATCATAACAATCGTTATTATGATGCGTCCAGATTTTTTTTATGAGGGCAGGAATTATGTATAGATAAAAAATATATATATACCATGGAATCGGATGCACTCAGACAAACTTGATTTGCCATCGGCGCCATTGGGAGAGTGATGGTACATTAAGTGTTGTGCATCTGTCAAGCCATTCGCTTATTGTACAACTACGCCACGTTTTATAGAACTAATAGTAATACCTTCATAATAACGCCACATATGCTTTATTAGGATGATTTTTTTGCAAATTTGACTGCAGGTCGCTTAAATTGAGGAACCTGCGAAAACATGTTCAACCTAAACCATTAGCGTCGAATTCTCTTGTTAATACGAGAGCCCGGTCTCCCATTGCACGGCCATTTCTCCATTGATAACAATACTGTAGTTATTTATGCACTGCAGCCACAATGCATCCCAGCCAATGTAAGTGGTTGTCCTTGGAGCGTTTCACTCGAGTAGAGTTAACATTTCAACACAAATGGATTCTGTGCATTGTTAAGATCCAGGGCCACGATTTATAATTCAATGGGCACGTTATTTTTCATCTCTCATTTTGTTAGGGTGCTAATCACTGTGTTCGCTCGATAAGCATGTCGCTTGCGTGTCGTTTGCAAAATTGATTCTCACAACGCGTGAATGTGTCACTGCGGCGCATAGCGCTGCTGGCACGGAAGGGGATCGGGCAGGTGTAGTAGCGCTGTCCGTCAGCAGGATGTGATGAGCCGGAAACAGGGACGTGAGACAAGGGGGGTAGAGGGGGACGTGTGGTAAAGCAGGGGAACCTTCTAGTGGGTTCCAGAAGGGGGGGCGTGGCCGAAGGCGGAGCGAGGCCACGCTGGGTGAATAAAAGGGGAACCCCGAGCGAGAAATCGGGGCTGTTGTTGGAGTGGAAGCGTCGTGCTGCTGGAGCCCTCGTCACCGTCTTCAACCTCCTACGGCGTTGTTGGTTCAGGCAGCCTGTTAGCTGTCCTGACCGTAGTCTCGTTAATCCTTCTACTTTTAGTGCCTCTGAGTGATTCACTACACGTGTATTGTGAACGTGAGAATCAACTGTGATTTTTTGAATGGATGCATTGTTACATGGCTGCTGGAGAGGGGGCGGATGTGTCTCAGTGCAGGTCTCAGTGCAGGTTAACACGTGACATATGGCACTGATGCTTGAACAATTTTTACATAAACACTAATTACAGAAAACACCCTGGGCACCCTTGCAAATCAGATGTTCCATTTCAAGGGATTATCCAGGTTTAATATTTAAATAAATAAAACAAACAAAAACTAATGCACTATTACCAAGGGTGTCTGCATAATATATGCAATTTATTCTCATGCAATCGGAGGCAATTTTCTTATCAAGAAAAAAAATTATACACGACTTCCTGTGAAAGCAGAACGTGCAACAATTCTGAGGGGAATAAATATCCTACCCAATATGACCCCCTCCCCCCCTCTTTACTGGAGTAAGGGGCATGACGACAGTGAGACCGTTAAGTTTTATCCCCATTGACCAGAAATCTGAGGTTGAAGCGTGTTCAGAAAAAGAGATTAATTTAAATCCAGAGTTGTCTCGGGCTAAGCTCAAGAAAAAAAAGGAAATATTTAGCTGATGAATAGCTGCATTGTTTCACCTGCACTTGAAACCACGATGGCGTCACGAAATATCTATCTCGCACAACTTGCAATACTCTTCATGAGCATGAAGAATGTTGCACGGGAGATATACTGGAGTCGAACTGGGCCGTAAGGAAGGCCTCCATGCATTTACCCCAATGGATTTGAGCGACGGCACTCACCTAAGCTCTCGCGTTGGATCCAGCGGCAACCTCACGCAATTCCCCGTTGCCCCGTGGCTCAGTCCAATCTAGATTAACAGACGCCTGCAATGTAATTCTCGGTGCCGTACCTCTGCGTGTATTTCAAGTACGGGGTGTAGTCAATGACTGCGTTGTTCTCATTCGCTAGGTCCTCTCCCTTCAGGCAAAAGCTGTAAGAAACGAGAAAAAATATCCATGAGCATTTCACACCGAGCCTCGGACGGAACTATGCCAACACGGTCAGGCTTTTGTAGCTGAAAGTGGGGTCACGCATTCTGATAACATTTCGCAGGCAGCTTTGCCCGCTATTCGCATGCCAAATACACACAGGAACAAGACGCGCGTGAGAAATCAGCGCGTTTGTTTGCGTGACAAGATTCGTTATTTTTGCCGCATTGGGTGGAGGAGGGCGTACGACACATCTTGGCATTTTATACTCACGTGGCGATCTGATAAAAAAAATCTATGAGAATCAAGAGCACGAACGTTTGGTTTTGGATTCGCTATGCAGAATACGGTAGATCATCCAGCAGTAATACGATACGAATTACTTTTGAGTCCCCGAATTATTACGTGTGATTTTTTAGTCCTGGTTGCTGGCTACATTTTCCCCCCTTATCTTGATGAGTTAACTCTGCTGTGAAACTAAAGCCTCATGTTACACCGTTTGTTGACTTCTAATAACACATGCACACACATCCATTGTTATCATTTTGTATGCATTGCGTGACATAAATCAAGCCATTAAGAAAAGTGGGCTTGAAAATAAGTTAATTCCTCAGTGGGCTTTGTCTGGTAGGATAGCGATGGTTTAGTTTTATTTGTATATGTTTGTGTTCCTGTTATTTGTTTACCTTTCCTGTACTTTGCAATCATATGTTTGTTGTAATGTTTTGACCCAGTGCCCCGACTGGACATCTGTGATAAAGAGCTTTATAGCTCATCGGATTCCTCCTGCAGCATAAATATTCAGATTCTGATACATTCACGATGGAGTTGCAGCAGAGGATTGGAACCTCTCCGAGAAAACATCCACCGAGGAGCTGGAGCAATGAAATCAACCCATGTGCAGTTGGCTAGGTAAATTGTTACACCTCAGGATCATGAGAGATGACACTGGCTTCTGACAGCCTTCATCCAGCCGTGGATTAAACATGGCTGATGATCATCGCATGTATCAGAGATATGCGACGATTGTGTCTCAAATTGGATACAATTATAGCCGAAGAAATAATTATTGCTTCAGCTATGAAGATGATCGAAATGGGCTGATGCATTGCGTACATGCCAACCCCAAAAGGTTCCTTACAATCGGTGAGGTCTTGAGAAAACCCCAAGAAACCCAGTAGCAATCCAAGACAGAGAGAAACCCAAGTCATTGAGGGAAAGAACTGTTGAACCGTCACACAAGGGTGAGTCTACTTTTGGAGAAGAGGCAGCATGGGGAGGAGTGACGAAGTGAGTTTGCTTAGCAGAAATAGAAGTCTAATGTACACCACTTAGTGAATACCCCCCACGGTGAACGAAATAATAGTCACATTGGACTGTTGCTATTAGTTTCCCACTGTTTTCTCATAGAAAGTCTGCGAGTAAAAAATTAACTTTTGGAGCTGATCCTTGCATAAGACCTGAACCATCGGAAGCTGCCGGTGCCCTGCAGTAAACAGGACTGAGAGTAATGATTTACAACAGGTAAACAACAACAAAGGTGAGAATCCATTGCATGGCCTTGAGATACTCAACATTGTGAAAAACGGTGAGTCTTAGGCGTAGTCCTCGAAAAAAAAAGGTTTAGCTTAGTTTACCTTGACGTCAATGCCGAGCAAAATGGATTATCAATATAATGCTTCTGAAATATGTGTTGATATCAACATAGTCATGGGAACACACTAAACAACCAACGAAGACGCGCAGACACACACGCAATTCAATGCCTGTGTAGAGGTGCTAACTACTCACGGTTCAGTAACCTGCATTGCCACTAGGTATCAAAGGGGCAGTGCAGCGTTACCTCTGTGTGAATAACGGTTGGGGTCAGACGAGGTGAAGTGGATCGTAGCCACAGTTTGGTAAGAACCAATCAGACAGTTCCACGTGGGAATGTGGGATTGGTTAGACCTGGCCACAAACGGGTATAAGAAGGGTGAGCAGAATGCATCAAAGAAGGGTGCTGAAAACAGGCTTGGCATGGCCAATTTGACTGCAAAATTACCCCAGATTATCCGAGTGTAGAGCGTGCAGTCTCAGTGGAAGTACACTCGGATTAAATGAGCTACCTTCTGTACAGGATGAAACTTAATGGTTGAAAAATGAAAGACATTCGTTCATTAATTAATTTCCATTGTTGAGAACCAGCACACGGAAACAAAAATGTATCTTTAAAAAGGGTACCTGGATTAGGGTTAAATCGAGCAAATAATATTTTTCACACAAGAGAAAGAAAGCGTGCACGAAATAACCAAGACTATTAACACTTTACGCAAAAAGCTTCTAATCAAACAATTCACACGTTTACTAAAACGTAATAATGTGTTTCAATGGCAGCCAACATAACGCGTTACTATGCCTGATATTCAATCTAATTCGGGCCGGACACACTAGTTGAACATTTACGAGTCTCTTGTATATATAATTGGCTTGTTTTGAGACATGACACGCTCAAAACGCAGACCAGTCCTATAACCTTAATAGCCCAGGCAAGACTATTAGGCACTCCGAGTGCCAGGCAACAAGGAAATGCGGGCAAAGAGGCTCAACGGACTTTTGGGGCAAGGGCTGTGAGCGAACACCTACATAAGGCACACGAGGGGACGGGTGACTAGCCAACACCACACCTGGCCGCCTTTGTCTTTCTTGTACAACAAAGACGCCCCGTATAGTCTTTACAGGTTGTTGGGGCAAGTGATGTTAGCGAGTCGGCCGACACGGCACACGAGGGGGTGGGTGGACAGCACCCCGCCCGACCGCATTTGTCTCCCCAGTGGCGATGTTTAGACATCCCAGCAGGGACTCATTTGAGGCTGAGTCGACCAAGAGGAAGCCCAGGACAGGATTAAGATATTTCTTCACTGCATCATTCATTGTTCCTGTCGTATTGCTGTTGTGTCAGGTGTCTTAACATATGTTTGTGCGAGTGTGTTGTGAGTTCGACAGCCTCAAATGAGTACCTGGTGCAGTGTGTAAACATCGCCACTGGGGAGACAAAGGTGGTCGGGCGTGGCACTGGCCACCCACCCCCTCGTCTACCGTTCCGGCCTTAATAGGTGCTCGCTAACATAACTTGCCCCAACAGTATGTTAAGGCTATACGGGGGGTCTTTGTTTGAGTGTACATCTGTTCAGTTGTTACATGAACTGGTGGATGTAATGAATGGATATACGTGGGAAATCTGGAAGAATTTGAAAAGACTGGAGTCTGTGACCATATTACTCCAATCTCATCAAATATCAGAAGCTACGCAGGGGGTTGAGTCTGGAAAATGCATGGATGGGAGACTGCGATGAATCACAGATGTTACAGGTTGCAGGGCTATGTTGTGGGTACCATGAAGACAGTTAAAGAATATTCAGTGTTGTATTGTGCTTCCATGCTCCCTTCATCTGTGCTCGACAGCCCACACTAAACGGCCTGGTGAAGTGTGATCAAATCACCCCACAACCTGCACATTTCCATTTTATTTTACCAGGTAAGGCCCACTGAGCTAAATAGCTCTTTTTCAGAAGCTACCTGACAACAAATGATAGCTCAACGAAGTGGCTTATCATCATCTGGCAATGTATAGCAGCCAAATGCTCTAAATGCACGTTTTTAAATGTGTAGGGGAAAAACTGGAGAACACGGAGAAAAATCCGCGCGACCACGGGGAGAGATAAAGCAGGCGTTGGGGTCGGAATCGCACCCACGACCTCCTGTATAACAGACGTGGCAGTTGACATCTGGCCACGACATTGTGCGGAGGGCCCTCGTACAAAGGCTGTTTCACGTACATTCTATATATATGAAAAGGTAGAGGAGTGGGGAGCTTGGCCAGTGTGGTAAGAATGTTGCGGAAAATTTACCTGAAATCAATTGAGTTGAGGGCCAAGAACATTCCAGCCAGCAGAAGGGCTTCATCTCCAAGCATGGCTGCTCCTTCTCCATAAAACCTCCTGTGGGCCCATGACAACAACCGCACACGCATGCCATTATTGTTACATTTCGTGTGCACGCAATCGCCTTGCAGCAATCTGGCTGAGGAGGATCCATTTAGCTCTGGATGAGGGCATCTAGTCCGGACAAGCATTTATCATGGGACAATTGCCCAATTTTAATAATAACACGATGTAACACAATTTTTGTTCCTGGGTAGTAAGTATTATTTCGTAATTGCTTATGCCTAAAGAGTATAGAAAATGGATATTATTCCCCCACAAACTTTGCTTTTGTGACCAGGACAGTGATATTTTGCAATTTACCTATTTTCAATGAGAAAACGGGCGAATTTGTGTTTTTCGTTCACATAAAGTCAGAAAAAAACTACATGAATACCAATTAACACGTATTTATATTAACGTAATACAAACATCACTAGAAAAGATTTTGAAGTTAGTAGTTTTTAGAGATTTACGATTATACTGTAAATCACTTTCACGAATATTCCCCCAAATGTAGTCTCCCATCATGTTCTCGTTATACTGTCCTTGATAGCGGCGTTCAAAGTACAGTATATGCTGGTGGAAGCGCTCGCCTTGCTCCTCCAAGTACGCTCTCATGTTCTCCTTGACTTTATCAAGATGAGCATCAAGGAGGTGGACTTTCAGGGACATCCTACAGCCCATTGTGCCGTAGTTCTTCACCAGAGTCTCAACCAGCTCCACACGACAGCTTTAAATCGAAATTCAGCTCCACATAGTTTTCGACCTTGTGATTGCCCAGGAAGCCATGAACCACTGCGACAAAGCTGTTCCAAGCCGCTTTCTCCTTACTAGTGAGCTTCTTGGGGAATTCATTGCACTCCATGATCTTCTTTATCTGTGGTCCGACAAAGACACCGGCTTTGACCTTAGCCTCAGACAGCTTAGGGAAGAAGTCTTGAAGGTACATGAAGGATGCTGACTCCTTATCTACAGCTTTGACAAATGGTTTCATAAGGCCCAATTTGATGTGCAGTAGTGGCATTAGCACCTTCCGGGGGTCCACCAGTGGTTCCCACTTGACGTTGTTCCTCCCCACAGAGAACTCGGTCCACTGTGGCCAGTCCCGCCTGTGGTAGTGCACCTTGGTGTCCCTGCTGTCCCAAAGGCAAAGATAGCAGGGAAACTTGGTAACAGCGCCTTGGAGACCCATCAGGAATGGCACCATTTTGAAGTCTCCGATGACCTCCCAGCTATACTCATCATATTTCACGGCGACTAGCAGGGTCTTGATGCTGTTGTAATCCTCTTTGAGGCGCACCGAGTGAGCCAGGGGAAGAGACGGGTACTTGTTACCATTATGGAGAAGCACGGCTTTGAGGCTCCTGGATAAGATGTCAATGAAGAGACGCCACTCATTCTGGTTACAGGCGATTCCTATTGCCTCGAACAGACTGGTCACATTGTGGCAGAAGCAGAGCCCATCTTGACGGGTGAAGAAGCTGCAAAAAGGTTGGTGACGCTTCCTCTGATCTGCGACTTGCGCACATTCATCCAACAAGTTCCACTGCTTGAGCCTAGACATCAAAAGCTCGGTATTGGACTTGGTGAGAGCAAGATCTCTGATCAAGTCGTTGAGGTCTTTTTGGTTGGGGTAGTATGGGTTTCTTTCCTCAGCTCCACCTCTGAAATTGTCATCTGGATCTACAACGTCTTCCTCGCTCTCTGACTTGCTGCTCTATTCTAAAGACAGCTGCTCTCTCTCCGGAAGAGTGGGTACGGGGAGTTCATGGGAAAGTGGCACATGGACGATGGATGAAGAAAGGTGATAGCAGGTGCATTCTTGCCAGTCCGACGTTTGGAAGGGTCCACCATGCAGAAATAGCAGTTTCTTGAGTGGTCAGTGGGTTCCCGCCAAATTCTTGGGATAGCGAACTTCATGGCTCTCTTTACCCCTCTGTACCATCCTACAAAAATACATTTATTTCACCCATGACTAACGTGCAAGAGAATCTCGCAACATTTTTCAAACATGATATATATATATTTTTTAATTAAATTGACAATTGTAAAACATTTACAAATGAAAAACGTTTACAATAATTGTTTTAAATATATAATATAATATTCCGAGCAACAATTGTACATCTTACCTTCCAGAGTTTTTTTTTGCATTGCTCGCAGGCAGGGGCGGAGCCAGGATTTCAGGCCGGGGTGACATTCAACAAATGTTAATTTCAAGAATGATTAGAGAGTCAGGCTGTTGAACTAGAAGCCATCGGTTGGCGACACACTCTGACAATGCAGTTGCACGGAGTCCGCCAGACCGAGTGTCGTACACTTACACGCAGAACGTCACCCCTGTCACCCCCCCTGGCTCCGCCCCTGTTTGCAGGTGAAATGAGGTGCCCAGAGGTTTGTCTTGATCCCCGACAGGCATGCCGAAATATGCTTTGTAGGCCTCAAACAGCTTCGCAGATGCTTCCACAGAGCACTTTTTAGCTCTTGTCTTGATAAATTGGCCGCAGACATAGCAAAATGCGTCTGCCGGAATGCTTGCAGCCTCTTGATACCATCTCAGAAAAATGCAGATATGTGTCCACGTAGGCAGCTGGAACTAAACTGAACTGGTGGGCTTAAGGCCCCTGTATTTATACTATTTATATTACTGGAAAGTTCTAGAATGTTCTAGAAGTTACTACAAGTTTACTCAGCACTGAAGCTATCTGGAATTCATATTCTATGTTTTTTTTAGTAAAGTCCACCCCCACCCCCCATTCCTGATGACGACCGCTTGTGTTGCGATCGAAATGTCGATATTTTCATTTGTATTTTTATCATTATAATTTTATTGTTATTATTTTTCTATCTACGTGACTTTACCGAAAGAACCATAGAATATGACTCCCTGCAGTCACGAAAGTTTCAAGTCCAAATCGATCTGGAATGTTCTAGAAAATAGGTAAATTTCTAAATACCACTGTCCTGGTCACAAAAGCAAAGTTTTTGGGGAATAATAGCCATTTTCTGTACTTTTGAGGCATAAGCAATTAGGAAATAACACTTACTACCAAGAAACAAAAAAATGTTACACAGTGTAATACAACTCTTATGTCCCTACAAAATCAGCAAACGATTGACTACTTATTTGAATAATATAAGGTATCTTCCCCCCCCACCCCACCACCCGAGATTGAACATAAGGCAAGCTAGTTGTGTGTACCAACAGTGCACAGTGAGGGATATGAGGGTGAGATACGACCCAGGTGAGAGGGCAACTCCAAATCCAACAGGAGTGTGCGCTCATGCAACCATATGGAGACATCACACCGGCGATTAAATACCTCACAATAGGTAATGGACCACTGGCTAATTGACAACAATCGGCAAGCGATAAGTCCTGATTGTGAATGTGGCACCCATTAAAGAAATGTGCTTAGTTAGTGAAGCATTGTATTTATTATTCAAGGGCCAAAAATAATGAAGGACAACTGATTTTCTGGAGATTAAATATTCTCCCTTGGGAAATGTGTTGACCTGGTTTTGGCATCTGTGAGACATTCCCTGCGGAATATACCATGCTATTTGAGGATGTTTGTGCCTATTTCCCTCCATGAATATTATAATAATGATAATTCCATATATTTAGCCAGGAATGCCTGAGTCTCAAGACTCCTTTTTGGGAGAGTCCTGCATAGGAACGTTGGCAAATTTCATTTCAAGGAGTATTTGCACAAAGGAGGAAGGTGAGATTTTTTTCATAAAGACTTACATTCTTTGCAAGCCTTTCTCAATTCACTGCTATCTAAAGGCCTCCACATGCCATGTCGGTAATGGCAATTTGTTTAAACAATACTACACCAGTTTGGTGAAGGGAAGGCCCTTCAGCAAACCGTAATCACAACTCAGATAAGTGAATTCAAAGTGGAGTGCACCACTTCGCCACTGCTCAAGTCTGGGTGTTGAGTACCCCGGAGAACCCAGGATAAATGAAGGGCACCATGCCCTCTCAGACACATTACAGCTCGAGGAGTCAGTAAATTTGATGAGTGTAATTCATCCACATTGAATATTGGCAATGACAGCGAGACATGGGATATGCAAAGCAGGTTTCATTTCATTTATATTGAGTTGAACAGTTAGTGATTTGTATTCCCAATTAGGCAAGAGGAGTGGCACTCCAAAACTAATAAACACATCAAAATTGTTAAGATACACGTAGGAAATATAACCCCTAATTAAGTGACGAATGTCAATCCATTGTGGCTTGTTCCAAGTATTTCTGATGTTGTGCGCAGCATGTGATGTTTACGTGTGTGTGTGGCGACTCGAGTTCGATTCCCGCTCATGGCAAACATCAGTGACGAACTGGTCCTCAGACTGCCCAAGGTCGATGCAGCCTTAAATGAATAAGTGTATGGGTGTGTTAACATCGGCACTCGGGAAACAAAGGTGGCCGGGTGTGGTGGTAACCACACGACCCCCTTGTGCACCGTGCCGCCTTCTTCAAAGGTCCCCTGCTAAATGTGCTTGCCCCAACAACCAGTGTAGGCTACATGGGGGATCTTTGCCTTTGTTTAGGAGAGTAATATTGCATAATTGATGTTCTTGCATGGGAACGGGTTACCTTGAGCAAACCTCTTGAAGGCCGCAAGGATACAACGAAGAAGTTGGAGTGAAACATAAAATCGTGTTTGTTCAGACATTGATCAATGCATGGGGAAATACAACTAAGGAAAACAATCGTTGTTTCGCTGCCCTGTACATTAGTGTAATGAGAGAGCGCCATCAAAGGGATGACGAGGGGTAATTGCATAGTCACTGCTGGGTAACTAATATCCAATGAGAAGGAAGGGTTCCATCTGGGCCAAAGGTAACGGGCGGAGCTCGTGGGTATGTACGGGAACCATCGGGAAGGTTCCACGAGGGGGCGTGGCTAGAGGCGGAGCTTAGCTCCGCCGAGGGCAATATAAGGAGAGGCAGCGAGAGGACTCTTGGTCGGTGTGGGGAGCCTGGAGTCCGGATTGCATCATCGC